ATATATACTTATCTTCAAAAATTATTATTGTAATTTATAAATGAAAATTTTATTAAAAAATTTTATTAAACATTGTTTTCAAACATTAAATGACATTAATGTCATTATTAAGAGTACAATATATTCAATATATTTACTGCCAGTACTAAAATTTATAGTTTACGTTACGTGTATACTAAAAATTTTCAATATTGGCAATGATTATCAGAATGTGCAGCCTAAGATATAAAGTACAAAATATTTTTTTATATTAAAAAATTTCTATTAAAATAAAATATTTCTATTTAATAAAAAATAATGCAATTAAATAAATATAAAGAGAATAGGGTATTAAAGTAACGATAAAAAGTAACAGTTGATTTATTTTATATCATTAAGAAGGTTCTCGCGTTTAATGAAACATAAGACATGTCTATAATATATATGTAATACAAAAGTTAATAATATCAATAATATCTAGAAAAAATTTCATAGACTTTTACCGTACCATTTTTTTGAAGATATTTAATTCTAAATTTATAGAATTTTACATTACAAGTTGAAGGTATAATCTTATTATGTAGTCATTCTCTTTTAAATTGAGACACTTACAAGACAGCAATTTAAAAATCGTTATAATTATAAAGTGTAGGCTTTTTCACTGTATCATCATTATCGATTAGTTTAATTATAAAGTAAACACTTAATATATAATCGTAATTCTATGTTGATCGGCTCGTTACAGATGAACCTTCTGTTATTAAGATTGATGCCTTACAATGTGTTGAAGTCAAACACTGGGTGTCAATGTGTAATAAATTTTTTTTATTTGTTCCAAGTTTTTGTACAAACGTTTCGATCCCGTTTCGGATCCTTTTCAATGCTATTGTACGAATTCATCGAGTTTCCTGACGCACTATATCGTAAACATTTTCTTATTAATCTCACGAATTATAATTGAAAGTTTACAATAAGATAAATAATATAAATAATATAATAGATAAATTTGCACAGTTCAAACAAAGAATAAATTTACATGATATTCGTTATGCTAATATAATGCGTGTCATCTATATCAGCTTTAAGATACATCTAAACAATATAATGTCAAGTACAATTCGAAACTACACAAACGCAAACAACAAAAATATTAAAGAGAGGAAACCTCAGTTATTATCAAATAGGAAATCATATGCCTTAGTTAACGAATCTGTGTCTGATTGGATATTTAAGCCATTTTTTTGTTTACGTATGAAAATTATTTCTGATATTAGTTTTTTACTTAAAATTTGTTCCTGATCTAAAATCTTAACACTATCCCAGTAAAAATCATGTGTATGTTCTAATCTATGTTCTGTGATGACCGATTTTTGGTCTGTATTTCTATTGATGTGGTTTCTATATTCGCTAATTCTGGTTTTAAGAGTCCTTCCTGTTTGACCGACATATGAAGCATCACAGTCTCTGCACTCCATCAGTTATAAACTTATAAACTACATCAGTGTGCATAAAATGTGGAAGTTTGTCTTTCTGCACTCTAATGTAGTTGCTCAATTTGTTGATACCCTTGTAAGCTATTTTGATGATGTTAGCCTTCTTTAAAAAGTTTTTGATTCTTTCTGAAATACCCACTATAAAAGGCACCGTGAAGAATATTTATTTCTTTTCTACTTTTTTATTAGCTGTTTGATTGTTCTGATTATATTCAGAGAATTTTTTGTGTAACCTTTTATTTATGGTGGAGAAAATCAAATTCAAGGGGTAGCCATTGTTCAGTATTCTGATTATTTTATCTAAGTTTTTCGTATGAAAGGAAGGGTGTGACAATAGTAAGACTATCTGTTAAGCTCACTATTACTCCAGTTTTCTGTGCAAAGTGAATGTTGCGAAAAAAAATTAAGATAACGTCCTGATGACGTAGGTTTCTGATACCAGGTTCATGATAGGTACAAAAAAGTTCTGAGCTTTTTTTTGTAAAATTCAATCTTTATTCAAAAACAAACGAAAAAATATTAATCAGCGAAATATTCTCCGTTTGCA